GTTTGTCATAACAGCTGCTCTGTGGTGGATTTCCATCCTCGCTGCAATGTTATTCCTATAAATTCTGAGAATATCTCAACATCTGCTGCTTTAATCTGTCCCCACAGGAGAATAAAGATAAACAAACGATATTTACTGACTGTTTTGTCTCTTTATGCACCATTAAAGCTGCTCTGAGACCAGCAGCGGTTCTGGTTCAGGTCCGTCTGGACCTGAACTGCCTGAAATCACACCACAAGTGTTTCCTCAGCGTTGGCCTCTCCACCCCAACGCCCAAGCAGCCCATTATTCCTCTAGTCGCCTCAGTCCGATGAATAATTGACTGCATTGACTGATTGTGATGGAGTTTGTTCCACAGAGAACCAATAAAATTACAATGTGTGTCATTTTAATTAAAGGTGGTTCTGACTGTTGTCTCTGTGAGCAAATAAAGAGTAAACCATGGATGTACGCTCTACTGCTGCATGTTGGAGGTCCGGTCCTCACCACTGAGGAATCAGTCAGCATCTCCCAAACCAGGCAAACATCGGAGAAGCAGCTGTTGCATCCAAATAACAGAAGAGAAGTTTGAATTTTCTTCTTATTATTAGATTTTATAATCACAGAATATGTTCATAAACATTTCCGTAACATTTTTACTCCTTACTAACTGTAGGAGGTCATTGTTCTCTCCATCATGCCAGCAGGACATCCCATATCCTGGAATAATTAGGTTAGGGTTATATAATAAAAATGCCCTAAAAGACTAACAATAGTTAGAATAAATAATATGCCATTTATTTCTGATTAACTAAGATGTAAACGGCTAAACAAAGAGGAGGAAGAGGCAGCAGGGTTTTATTCTAGTTTTCAGATAAAAACCAACTGATGCACAGTTTAATACATGAGTGCTAAAAGTGTTTTATGTGTATGATGCCCTTATGAGCTCTATATTCATCTGAAGACCCGGTGATGCTTCACAACCAGCTGTCAGGTTAAACTGCTTGGTCAGCTGGTTGCCGCGGCAACAGCATCTGTGTTTTATCACAGATTGAGTTAACTTACAAAGAAGTGACAGGCTGGGTGACAAACACTACTTCTCTGACTCAAACATTTCTGAGGATTTTTAGTGATGGAAAAATAAAACTTAACAGACACAACTGTGAAAGTCCGATGTTTGAGGAGGTGGTTTGTGTAGCTAGAAGCATGGGCCTTTATTTGGTACAGCCATCAGAGCTGTGTTGTTCTTTCCTCTGAGCCTGCAGCTGGTTTTTCCCACCCACCTGTTATGGTTTATTTATTCATTCCACCCGTCTGGTTTCATGTAAATAAATATCTGGAAGATGAACGAGAAGAAAGTCAAAGCTAATAAACACTGGATAATCCAATTTTGTTCATGTAGCGACAAAACAATAAGTCCATGAAGTTGGTTGCTAGAATAATCTAAAATCAGTGAGGGTTTTAGGGATTTTATAATAAATGGATATTTGTTTCCGTGTTAAACCTGATGAGCGAAAACAATTCATACCGTAAATCCTCTAATATTGGCCTGTATTTAATTAACTGCCGGGTATCATATTTTGGCCGGTGTCGGAGTCGGCGGAGGTGAATAATGGCCGGTTTTTTATTGTGGCCGGGTGGAATGTGGTAACAAGCAAGTACGGGGGGTGGTTGTGTCATCGTCTCACTTTTGATTTGCCAGTGATAGACCGCGAGGGTAACTTTAACCGTGCGGAGACGAAGAGGAGGCGAAAATTTGATATCAAGTTCAAAGAGAACATGCTGATTATGCTGCAGAACACTCTGGGGAGCAGTAGCAGGGGTTGTATGAACTAGTCACTAGTCAACTTCACCGCTCTGTAGTGACTTGTTATGCCTGTTGTCGACTAGTCGCTGTCACGTGATAATGACCGGCAAGATGCAGTCCCCGGAAAAGACAGCAGCCTGCTGTCAGCAGGTGACAAGCTCCTGCGCGTCGGGAGGCAACGCGCTGTGCCAGAGCGTTGGTACTGATACCCGCCGTAAAACGGACATTTAACCAAATTGTGACCTTTACCCTCTTGCAATTTAACCTTCCCCTCACCCCATCCTAACCTTAACCAGCTTGCGCATGCAAAGCTCTGATCGATGACGCGCTCCAGACATCTGTGTCCTGAGCACGGCCACAGTAACATTATCAAATCAGGTGTCGCCACCTCAAAAACTAATTTAACACGCGATTGTTCATGTCGGCTCATTTCCTTTTTATGTTTTCTGTCTTTTATTTGTGCCTGATGCGTTTCGCTGCTGTGGATCGGGGCGCATCACCTGTTTTGTCCTCGGTGATGCACCTAACTGATGCGGCCGGCTCGCACTCTGCAGTTTTTGCGGTTGGTAGATCTTTTAGAACTGCAGTTCAAAGGTAACTCATAAGGTGAATATATATGAACCCAGGTAGCAGTATTTCTTTAGGATTGAGAGGAGATGCAGGAAGATAATAAACAGGCAGGACAGAAAAACAGTCAAATAAAAACAAGTTAGT